CCAGAAAGGTAATGTTCCAGCTAGACTGACATTGTAGAATTTGGCAACAGGAACCAGAACCAACCTTTCCAGCCTTATTATGCATCATTCCTCTTCATACAGTCTTTTGTTGTTCAATCTTTTCAGTTGTATCCTGACTTTCCCTCAACCTCATTTGGGTTTTTGGGCTTTTGGTGGGGTTTTTTGGCTACTGGTCAGCCAAACTGGTCACCTTGTTCCTCATACAAGATATTCCATGTCCTGTCTCAGTTATTTCGGTTATTTCCCCTTGCCTGGAAAGTCCACTGTCCTCGCCTCTGCCTCTTAGAACCCCTCATTTCCTTGAAGACACAGTTCAAGTGTGACCTTTCCATCAAGAAACCTGCCTTTGCCTGTCCATCATTCCCCTATCTGTGTTATCTCCACCAATTAGAATGTAAGTTCCTCAAAGGCAGGAACTGTTTAACCTTTGTCTTTGTACCCTTAGCATCTAGCACAGTGCCTGGCTTGCGGAAAGTGCTTAATACTAATTGCTTCCTGATTGATCCACAGTAGACTTATGAGCAGAGAGGCCTCTCAGTGAATCTCTGCTAGAGACTTGGACTTGGAATTAGGAAGACCTTGGTCCAAGCACTTCCTTAGACACTTACCTAGTTGTGTGATCATGGGCAAATCTCTGAAGTTCTCTGGGCCTCAGTTTCCTCATTTGTAAAATGAGGGGTCTGGACCAGATGGCATCTGAGGTCCCTTCCTGCTCTAAATCTGTGATCCTAGGATTCCAAAATTCGAAGCAGGAAGATAGGAAGACTGGGGCAGAGATAGAGTGGGCAGTGTCTTAAAGTAACTTAAAGTGACAAAGACTGTCAGCACAATCTTCTACCTGAACCAGAGGAAGCTTCACTTGGACGTTAGAAATCTAGGTGCAGTTGCCTGCCCGATAGCAGTAGGAAGAGCGTCAAAGTTTGAAACTGGGCCATTGAAAGTTGAGTCTACAGGAAATTTATTGCCTGGGGAGTTGGGGTAGGCTAATATATTAGTGGACCCTACTCTGAGAGAAAATCTAGAGAAGAATTTAGCCAGGAATAAATGAGTGAATAAAAAAAATAATTTTTATTAAACTCTCAGACTGTATGAACCATTGTGTTATGCACTAGGAATAAAAATAGGAAAACAAGACAGTCCCTGTACAAAAAGAATTCACATTCTAATAGAAGTCAACACACAGGAGTCAACACACAGGAGGTTTCAGCTTCAAGTTAGAAGGGAAGGACCTGTAGTCATTAGGGTGCAATGGCCATATAGATGTTACTACATCTTCAATGCCATTTCCATTAATAAAACCATGCAGTTTCTGATGTTGAACCATTTGACAACGCCAAAGACTTTGGGGTTAAAAACTTTGTTTTCTGTGTCTTCAATAGTTTTGACTACTGAGAAGTTGGCGGGGTAAAGGCAGTTGCCCAATCACATCTCCATTAGTGTTACTGTCTTGAACAGTGGATGCATGGGCCAGGCTGGTATCAGAGGTGGTGGTGGTGGTATGGGAGTTGAGGTGGTATGGGAGTTGGGGGACTGTAATTCCTGGGACTCTTGGGCTTACCTGCCCATTGGTAACAGATGGTTAGGGTGTTTGGTATTGGTGGTAGCAGGGCTAGTGTGAGCCCGTCCTCCACAGTGGTTAATCCCCTCAGTGATGGCTGTGGGGACAGGACCAGTGATATTGCTAACACTGTAATTTCCTCTTTTTTTCCCCCCAAAAAATCTTTTAAAATTTATTTTTAGCATTTTTTTAAAATTTTGAGTTCCAAACTTTCTCCCTCCCCAACCCACTGAGAAGACAAGTAATATATCCATTATAATGTAAAATCATGCAAAATGTATTTCCATATTAGCCATATATCCACAAGAAAGCAAGAAAAATAAAGTGAGAAAATTATACTTCAATTTGCACTCAGAGTTCATCAGTTCTTTCTCTGGAGGTAGATAGAATTTTTTCATCATGAGTCTTTTGGAATTGTCTTGGATCATTGCATTAATCAGTACAAATCCTTTGTAGCTGATCATCATTGCAACGTTGTTGTTACTGTGTACAATGATCTCCTGCTTCTTCTCACTTCACTTTGCATTCGTACATATAGATCTTGCCATGTTTTTTCTGAAACCACCTCCCTTGTCATTTCCTACAGCATGATAGTACTCTCTCCCAATCATATGCCCCAATTTGTTCAGCCATTCTCCAATTGATGAGCATCCCCCAATTTCTGACTTTGCCACCACAAAAAGAGCTGCTATCAATATTTTTGTGCATATGGGTCTTTTTCCTTGATCTCTTTGAGATACAGACAGTAGAATATTTCAAGATCACAGGGCCTAGTTCCTAATTCTTCTCCACAATGGTTGAACCAGTTCACTAGGCCACCAGCAGTTAATTAGTATACCCATTTTCCCTTCATCTCCGCCAGCATTTGTCATTTCTGATGGGTATGAAGTGGTACCTCAGAGTTATTTTAATTTACCTTTTTCTAACCAATAGTGATTGAAAGCATTTTTTAAAATATGACTATAGATAGCTTTGATTTCATCTTCTGAAAACTGCCTGTTTAATATCCCTTGACCATTTATCAATTGGGGAATGCCTCTTATTTTTGTAAATTTGACTCAGTTTTATACTCAGAATATATTTGAGGATTGAGGCCTTTATCAGAGAAACTTGCTGTAAAATTTTTTAATGTGACTTTACTGTCTATGGTACCTTTTAGCAAAATGTAGTTTCCCTGATTATCTCTATTTAGGTCTGTTTTTGCTTGGAGATCAAAATTGCTACCCTGCCTTTTTAAAAAAAATTTATTTATTTTTAGTTTTCAACATTCACTTCCATAAGATTTTGAGTTTTAAATATTCTCCCCCTCCCCCCCATGGCATACAATCTGATATATACATTCATATTAAGCATATTTTCCCATTAGGCATGATATAAAGAACAATTAGAACTAATGGGAGGAACTATGAGAGAATGAAACAACAAAGTAAAAGGAGAGCAAATAGTATACTTCCATCTGCATTCAGCTTCTTAGATATTCAGCATTGTTGTAATCCAAGTTTCTTTGCCTTCCAGAAAATTCCTAGCTCTCCATTTCTTTAATGTAGAAGCCACTAAATCTTGTGTGAGCCTGACTATGTATGGCATCACAATATTTGAATTGTTTCTTGCTGGCTGTGTGAAGTATTTTATCTTTGACATGGGAGCTCTGGATTTTAGCTATGATATCCCCGAGAGTTTTCATTTTGGGATCTCTTTTAGGAAGTGATTGGTGGATTTTTTTTTCCTATTTCTATTTTACCTACTGGATCTAAGATATTGGGGCAATTTTCCTTGATAATTTCTTGAAATATCATGTCCATGCTCTTTCTCTGATCATGGCTTTCAGGCAGTCCAATCGTTCTTAAATTATCTCATCTTCCCCCCCCCAAAAAAAATTATCTCATCTTGATCTTTTCCAGGTCAATTGTTTTTCCAATAAGATATTTTACATTTTCTTTTATTTTCTCATTCTTTTCACTTTGTTTTATTGTTTCTTGATGTCTCTTGGAGTCATTAGCCCAATTCCAATTTTTAAGGAATAATTTTCTTCAGTGAGATTTTGTACCTCTTTTTCCTTTAGGGTCAATTCTGTTTTTTAAGGTGTTCTTTTCTTCAGGTTTTTTTTTATGCCTCTTTACCATGCTGTTAATTTTCTTTTCATAATTTTCTTGCATCATTCTCATTTGTTTTTTCTTTCTTTTTCTTTTTTTAGAGGCAGTCAGGGTTAAGTGACTTGCCCAGGGTCACACAGGTAGTAAGTATCATGTATCTAAGGCTGGATTTGAACTCAGGTCCTTTTGACTCCAGGGCTGGTGCTCTATCCACTGCACCACCTAACTGCTCCCATTCTCATTTCTTTTCCCAATTTTTCTTCTATCACTCTTTTCTCTTTAACTCTTCCAGTAATTCTTGTTGGGCTTGGATCCAATTAGCATTTTTTTTGTGTGTTGAGGCTTTGCTTGTAGCTATTTTCACCTTGTTGTCTTCTGAGTTTATGTTTTGATCTTCCTTGCCTCTTGCTGCCATTGCCAACTTTTTATGGGCAAATTCATTTGTTGTTGTTGTTTGCTCATTTTTCCTGTCCATTCTTTGACTTCGAACTGTATGTTAAAGTTTGGCTCTGCTCACCTCGGAGTGGGGAGGCATTGTCCCAACCTCCAGGCTTTTTTTGTGCTGCTATTTTTAGAGCTCATTCTGGGGATATGTAAGTTTTGGTGTTTCCAAGGTAGTGTCTTTACATAGGAAGGGCCCCTGTGTGACCCAGGACTGTATATGCTCGATAGAATTGCCAATCAGTGCTAGCTATACCCTGTGCCAGCCAAAGGGTCCCCTGTAATCTCTTTCTGCCCAATTGTTTGACCCCCTTACCATCTCTGGGCTGAAAGCTTTTAATTTTTCCAAGCTGCCATATGAGGGACTCAAAACCTTGGGCTCTTTAAGTATGAGAAAATAGATACCTGGCCTGTTAAGAAGTTATATGAAGATTAATTAAAGATGAGACTTGGGGGGTGAGATTTCTTAACTGGAAAAGAAAAAGAGACAGGAGGTAACAGGTGGCAGGTAGGCCAAACTGTACCAGCAATGAAATCACCATCTCTCTTATTCTCTGGTGGTCTTAGCACAGCACCCAGAGTCCAAGAGGCCTCAGAGATTGCAGTGTCTGTGGCAGAGCCCTAGAGAGGAAATGAAGGAGGTAGCATTCAATTTGGGAAGGATGGCTTATAATTGTGAGCATTATTTACATTTTTTAAGAAGTGAATTGGTTTATTAAGTTGTTACAACTTCTCGGAGAGGTGGCTATCCTCCTGCCATTCCCTTGGTGGTTTCAAGATTCAGGGAATCTTCTCTCTGAGAGCAAAAGCCCTGAATTTTCCTTGGGGAACCTCAACGTAACTGCAACAACAGTTCCATTGGATACTTCTCCCTGTGCTCTTCTCAGGCTGAGAAGAAAGCCAAGGTCATCGCAGTGATGAATGTCGTAGAGGAAACCCAGGGGACTGGAGAGCCGCAGAAGGTCGAGGAGGCCAGTCCTCCCGCTTTACAGCAACCTACTGATCCTGCTTCCCCCACTGTGGCCACCACACCTGAGCCAGTGGGGGCTGATGCTGGGGACAAGAATAATGCTAAGGCCACTGATGATGAGCCTGAATATGAGGTGAGTGTTGGTGTAGTACATCTTTTTAGGAAAAATAAATTGTATTGATATCTTTTGTTTTCATATCATAGTCATTTCCACTTATTCATCTCCCCCTCCCAGTATACTTTGCAATCTAAAAAAAGAAAGAAAGTAAGAAAGAAAGAAAGAAAAGCCAAACCATTCTGACCAATAATACTAACACTGTGTCCATACCTATAGTCCACCTACCTCTCCAGTGAAAGGAGGCAATGCTCTTCCTCATCTTTTCTTCCTTGAGGCAGGATTGGTTATTATAATTTCTGTACTTCTTTCCTACACTTAATACCTGCCTGAGCTCTTCTACTTCCCCTTCCCATTCTCCCACCCAACACCAATTCTCCCCCAAGCTTCAAGCTTTTATTTTTCTCAAGGCCGTCACCCTCTCAATATAATCAACTTGCTTTCACATTCAGACAGCTCCAGTATTTATTTCTCCAGGAGGCCCTTTTGTTCCTTGTCTGTCACAGAGACTGTCTTGGGCAGTTGCAGAAAGTAGATGAGAGAACTTTTGCAGTGAGACAATGGAGGGGGTGGTATCTTGGTGACAATTCTAATAATAATTTTTACCTCTTTGGGCTACAGGATGGCCGGGGCTTTGGCATTGGGGAACTGGTATGGGGAAAACTGCGGGGCTTCTCCTGGTGGCCCGGCCGAATTGTATCCTGGTGGATGACAGGCCGAAGTCGAGCAGCTGAAGGCACTCGATGGGTCATGTGGTTTGGAGATGGCAAGTTTTCAGTGGTGAGTTCTTAGAGGCTTGTGGCTATTGGGGTAGGGTGCCACTTGGGCACAGGACCTGCAGCCCTAAATTTGGGGGCAGATGGAGGTGGGTGGTATCTGAAATTGAATGGTATGGGAGTGGCCTTTAACAGTCTTTGCTGTTTGCTGCATTCTTGCTAATTCAGGGTGATGGTTTGTGGTCTTCCAAAACTCCAGAATTCTTGTCCGACCTTCACTCTGTTGCCTTGGTGTTTCTGTCAGGTTTGTGTTGAGAAATTGATGCCACTGAGCTCCTTCTGCAGTGCCTTCCACCAGGCCACATATAACAAGCAGCCCATGTACCGGAAAGCCATCTATGAGGTCCTTCAGGTGAGTTGCTAGCGGCTCAAAGGTGAGAGGGAGGGAAAGGCCAGAAAGTTGAAGTTAGAGGGTAGGAAAATTGGTGACTAGTAGAGAGAGAATAGAGACCTCTCTTTGATCTTAAATTATCTAGCCAACAAGCTGGAGTCTGATCATAGGAGAATCCTTTGAAAAACAAGGGCTATTAGTAGGTAGCCTGGAGAAGAAAAGATCTGGGGAAGGCAGGGTTGTTGAGGGTTAGGGAAAAACACTTTCTAGCTATCTTTTTCAAGTATTTCAAAGGGCGCATTGTGGTAGAGAGTGACCAATCACCAAGTATTGCTTTAGTAACAATGTGCTGGCTCTGGGGATAGATACAAAGCCCAAAGTGAAACAGCCCCCTAATCAAATGGCTTAGGTTAGACTTTTTTTCTGTTTGGCCTCAAAGGGCAAAGCTAGGACCCATGGATGGAAGTAGCTGGGCACATTTCAACTCATTGTAAGCAAAAGCTTGCTAATGATAAGTAGTATCTAAAAGTGAAATGGATTACTCTGAGAGGTAGCAAGCTCCCTTCCTTGCTCCCTGACAAGAGGTCTTCAAGGAGAAGCTAAATATTGTTTTGTTGAAGACATCAAAAGAGGGATTCACAATTGTGGATCAGGGTTGTACTAGACGACCTCTGCCATGCCATCTTTAAGTCTGTGGTCTGTGAGGCCCTCTGGCTGCAGTTCCTCCTGTTCCCTTCACCTCACCCCCTTTCTACTCTGTTCTTCCTCAGACATTCTCCTCCTTCACTCCACCTGATCTGTGCTCCGCCCGCCCCCCTTCTACTCCCATATCCTGGCTATTTCCACTCCCACTGCTCTCCTCTAGTCTGGCTGTGCACCTGCGGTTCTCTCCCTCACTCCAACCTGGCTATGACGCTCCCCCCCTAACGTGCTGCCCTACAGGTGGCCAGCAGCCGCGCCGGGAAGCTGTTTCCGGCCTGCCCTGAGAACGATGAAAGTGACACAGCCAAGGCCGTGGAAGTGCAGAACAAACAAATGATCGAGTGGGCTCTTGGTGGCTTCCAGCCCTCTGGCCCCAAGGGCCTGGAGCCACCAGAAGGTAAACACCAACAGCCCAAACCGCATACGCCAGCCTGACAGAGCTTGGAACTAGGGGCAAAGGACTGGGGAAAAGAGCAGGGAGGGGGAAGGGGGAGAGAGGGAAAGAGAGCACACTCATGCTTGGAAAACGATGGTAGTTGCCATAGCCCTCCCCTCTTTCTGTAATCAGGGCAAGAGCTTGGTAGGGGGAGCTGGCCCAATGGGACCTCAGGGCTCACCCTGCTTCTCCTGCTCACCCACCCTCACCCCACCCCCTCCTCCAGAGGGTTTGGACATTAGAAACTAGAGATAGACCTGAGATAGCCCAACCCTAGCTAGGACTGGTTAGAGACCCGCTTTGGGTCTCTGTTCCTTACCCGGCATTTTGTTAGCCAGTAACCAGCTCTTCCACCCTCCTCCCTGTACAGAAGAGAGAAATCCCTACAAGGAAGTTTACACTGACATGTGGGCCCCAGTAGAGCCTGAAGCTGCTGCCTATGCCCCACCTCCACCAGCCAAAAAGCCCCGAAAGAGCACAGCAGAGAAGCCCAAGATCAAAGAGATCATTGACGAACGCACAAGAGGTAGCGGTGGCCCCAGGATATACCGCCTACTGGAGACTCTTGGGAGGGGGCTGACAGGCCGGAGGGCACGGACAGCCACAAAAACCTTTACTACTCTTTGACCCTTTCTTTGCTTTTTGGTGTCTCTGCAGAGCGACTGGTATATGAGGTGCGGCAGAAATGCAGGAATATTGAAGGTGAGTTAGTGGATTGTGGCTGGGATGACATGTCTTCTGCCATCTTCTGGGCTTCTTGGGGAATCTACTTAGAAGGTACTTGCTGGGAGCCTAATGTATACAGCTGTTACTTATAGACACGTTGTTTTACCTCCCTGCAGGCATTTCCCCCCTCATTTAGGGGAAAGCATCCATAAATGTCCTTGTTACCTCTATATAAATCCACCCATTAGTTGAAGGGTAGGGAAAGGGAAAACCCAAAGTCTGCAGGGTCTTCTTCCAATACCTAAGAATTAGGCTTCAGAATTATAGTCCTTTGCTTTTAAGCCCTGAAAGAGAGGAGAGTCAAGAATTCTGGGTTCCAGAACCATAATCCTATTTGCCATCCTACCAGACTATCTGAACTAGGCCAAACCCTTCCCCATCCCAGTTATTTGTCATCAAAGTAGATAAGCCCCCCCTGCCCTAGCTCTTGGGGCTATTTGAAAGAGGAGCCCAGGAATGGAACTGCAAAACTGCCTTCTTTGAGTACAATGGTTTTCTGCCTCTAGACATGTCAGTGTATTCCACAGAAACTTTAAGAGAAGAGGGTTATTTTTGTTGTTTGGCTCTGCCCTCTTTTTTAAATGTCCTTTTTTTTTTTATCATGAACTTAATCATAAACAAACATGAACTATTTTAGTACCCAAAGAACAACAGAGTATTGTATATAAAACAACTTTTTTTTCTTTTAAATTTTTAAAAAGCGTATATTAAATTTAACCTAGTAATAACCATATTGTCCTCTTTGTGTCCTATGGGGCCCTTTTGAGACCAAGTAGGGTTGGAAATGGGCCATGGATGAATTCTCTTGATAACCCAAGTTTGGAGACCGTGCTTCTTGTAGTGAACACTCCTTTATGGCTTTGTTTTTGTTTCTAGTAGACATTGCTGCTCCAGGAGATAAGAACTGGCATCCTAGATCTAGGGAACAGGCATTTTCCACTCTCGTGCCCTGGAGAACTTTTCCATCTCTTTCATGACCTCTCATCTACTTCATGCATCACACCTTTCTCCTTTTTCCTCTTGACATGCTGAGCCAGACTGGGCAAGGCATTGGTCAGATCCCACTGAGATGCCTACCTGCCTTATCTGTCCTCAGACATCTGCATCTCCTGTGGGAGCCTCAACGTCACCCTGGAACACCCCCTCTTCATCGGAGGAATGTGCCAAAACTGCAAGGTAGGGGGCCAGTTAACAGAGGTGTTGCCAGGTTGCAAAATTCAAGAGACTCTTTTCCTTATCCCAGAAATATGGCTTCCTTACTTTCTGCATTTCCTAGTCTGTGGCAGGGTTGGGCTATGGACCTGTTTTTAATGATGGGAAGAAGGTGTGGAGGCATGGAGTTTCTTCTGTTGGGTTGATAAAGATTCTGTCTCATCCAATATTTCCCTTTGGGCTCCCTGTTATTTTTCTCCTTTGAAAAATTTCTTTCCTGGGGCAGCTAGGTGGTGCAGTGGATAGAACACTGGCCCTGAAGTCAGGAGGACCTGAGTTCAAATCCGGCCTCAGACCAAACACTTGACACTTATTAGCTGTGTGACCCTGGGCAACTCACTTAACCCCAATTGCCTAAAAAAAATTTTAAAAAATTTCTTTCCTTCTCTTAATGTCATGTGTTCTCTTTTATTGGGAACCCTGTTTCTTGGGCTGTCCCCACCCCAGGGTCTTAGTGAGTGTAGGACAGAATGAGAGATTAAGGGAAAATCCTGAGGAAGCAGGGTTGACTGCTGACTAGTCATCACCCCAGGTATCTTCGTGTTACTCCCCATTAGAGCGAGAAGGAAGATGGCCTTTGAGGCCATCTCGTCCAACCCTGTCATCTTGAGGTCGTCTTTTTATTTTTTTATTTTTATTTTTTTATTTTTTTTTATTGAGGTGGTCTTGACAGAATCAAGAGAATGAGCAGCTCCCACCCTGCTCTGTCAGCCTGGATTGGGCTTGGGGAGACCATAGAGTCACAGATTTATTTCTGAAAGGAACCAGAGAGACCATCTAGCCTAAACTCATTTTAGAGTAGAGGAAACTGAGGTCCAGAAAAATTAAGGGCTTTATCAAATTAACCAAGGGAACAAATGGCAGAGCCAGAATTTGACCCTACTCCTCTGGCTCCCAATTTAGTATTCTTCCTGTTGCACCACACTGCCTCATTGTAGTGCTGGCTGGAGTCTCCCAAGTGAGGCTGACATATGAAGCTAGGACTGAAGAAGAGAGCCCTGGGCTGGGGGTTTGGGTTCTGGGTCAGTCTTTTGCCCTAGTTTCCTGGAGGTTGGGGGAGCTTTCCCTGATGCTGGTGCTTTTTGGGTGTTGCTTCTGATGCTTACAGAACTGCTTCCTGGAGTGTGCCTATCAGTACGACGATGATGGCTACCAGTCATACTGTACTATCTGCTGTGGGGGCCGAGAGGTCCTCATGTGTGGGAACAACAACTGTTGCAGGTGAGGGCAGCCTCCGAATCCCTAGCACCAAACACACATTCATCCCGGGCCCTCCTGCCCTGACACTTAGCATCATGCCCCCAGGCAAACCTTGCCTCCAGCCCTGGGCTAGCTCTCTTGCCACTTGGGATCAGCTGATGTCCTGTCTCAAGTCCAGTGCTTTTTACCTTGTTCATTTCATTTCCAACTCTCAGAACCCTAGGATTCAGAGAAACAGGCAGAGCTAAACCATCTACCTTTCTTCTTCCCTGGGGCCCCAGGTGCTTCTGTGTGGAATGTGTGGACCTCTTGGTGGGCCCAGGTGCTGCCCAGGCAGCCATCAAAGAAGACCCTTGGAACTGCTACATGTGCGGGCACAAAGGCACCTACGGGCTGCTGCGGCGGCGAGAGGACTGGCCGTCACGCCTCCAGATGTTTTTCGCCAATAACCATGACCAGGAGTTTGTGAGTGTCCCCTGAGGGCCTCTTCTCCCTTTATCTTCCTTTGGATGATAAGCTCCTGCCCTTCAGTCTGGGGCTCTTTCCTGTTAATCTGAGAAATTGAGATGGAATAAATAAGAGGAGCCAAGCTGAGCTCAGCCATTAATTTGGGTTGGTAAAGCTGAGATGATATGATTCTGGCTATAAAATAGGCCAAAGTTATCTGAAGGTAAACCTCTTCTTAAAAATCTTCTACCCCAATGCTTACTTAGGCCCTTGTGCTTCTTACTTAGGACCCTCCCAAAGTTTATCCCCCAGTCCCAGCTGAGAAACGGAAGCCAATCCGGGTGCTATCTCTTTTCGATGGAATTGCCACAGGTGGGTAAGGGGCCAAGACACTGGGACTCCTAATTTCTTTATATGGGTTTCACAGAGCAGGGATCATAAATATGGAGTTGGAAGAGGTCCAGTTAGAGGTCCACTAGTCCAACCCATCATCTTGCACATGAGGAAACTGAGTCACAGAAAAGTTAAGTGACTTGTATAACGACATAAAACTAGTAAGTGGTAGAGATGGGATTTAAACGTAGGACTTGTGATTCCAAACCAAGGTTGCTTTCCATTACACTGTGATCAATCTCCTTTATTTTTTTTTTATTGTATTTTATTTTTTCCAATTAACGTGGAAAGACAATTTTCAACATTCATTTTTGAAAGAGTTCCAAATTCTTCCTTCTATCCTTCCCCTCTCCGAGACGGCAATCTGATATAGGCTATACGTGTGCAGTCATGTAAAACATATTTGTGATCACTGTTAAGATAGAAGTATCTATTCTCAGAATTTTCATCTTTTCATAAGAGTTAGAATGAAGGTAGGGAGAGATCATGACCCTACTACTAACTATGACTCCCTGGGGAAGCTACAAATGCCCAAAGATGAGGACCCTGGATTAATTATTACATCTTCTGCAGTGACTTGCTATGTGAACCTTGAGGGGTGAGTTCCCTGACTCTAGTCTTCTTTAGTTTGAATGTTAATAATATTTATCTAGCACTTAAAATTTTGCACACTGATTTACATCTATTACAACAACCTTTTGAGGTAATATCTATCCCCATTTTATAGCTGAAGAAACTGAGACTCAGAGAAGTTAAGAGGATTGCTCATAGTTACACACAGGTAGTAAGTGTCAGTAGCTGGATTTGAACCCATATCTTTCTGAATCCAAGTCCAGCGCTCTTTCTTGTGTCCACTGTACTTACCATGCTGCTTTTAGGTACCTGAAATGGATTGTGGATCAGACTTGTCTTAAGATATTCTCTCTAGAGCTCAGCTTCTTGGGGACAAGGCTACAAAATTGAGAGTAATTCCAGGTCTTTCATAGACCCAATTTTTAAGTTAGTTAGCTGGAGGCTTTTGCCCCAAGTGAGCATGTCCTATATCAGCAGGCCCCACTGAAGCTCTATCTAGTATGCTATTCAAACAACTTGGTCAACTCACTCCATCATCTAGTCCAACTCAGCTCAAACTAATTCGAACTCAGAGGATCTGGTGAAATCCTGATCCTTGCTCTGAGAGCTGCATCTTGGTGATTTAGAATTGGGCTTCTTACAATCCAGGGCTTTGGGAAAAGCCCTGGCAGTATTTGGGAATAGTGGAAAGGGTGGGAAAGACACCAAGCTAGCAAGACTGTTCAGGCCCAGCTTTAGACCAGTCTCCAAGTTCAGAGTCATGGATGACAGCAAATGGTAGTGTTCTCTGCTGGCTGACCACAGGACTGCTGGTGCTGAAGGACCTGGGGATCCAGGTAGACCGCTACATTGCCTCAGAGGTGTGTGAGGACTCCATCACTGTGGGCATGGTGCGGCACCAAGGGAAGATCATGTACGTGGGGGACGTCCGCAATGTCACACAGAAGCACGTATGTCACCATGCAGAGGAACCCCACCTGCTCTCTGTCTCCTTTCCTTCTATTTTATTTTTCCCATTTTCAGCCAACTCTACCTACTTAAAAAACAAAAACAAAAAACCAACAACCTTTGTCCTTCTTACTCTCTGTCCTATCTTTCTGTCCCTTCTTTTTGGGGGGTAGGGATTCAGACCCATGATTTAAGTAGTATAGGAGATTCTTAGGTGTGGAGACTCTTGCCCAGAGTCTCATATCTAGTATGTATCAGAAGTAGGACTGGTACCCAGGGCTTCCTAACGACTCGTCATGCTGCGCTGCCCCTCTATCAGCTTTTTTCCCCACCTTCACTCGCTCTCCTAGTCTGCCTCCTCGGGGCCTTGGTAGGTAGGAGTTTAGCCATGCAAGGACTAGACCAAAGGAACCCTGCTGTGCCTTATTGGAGCAGGTTGGAAAGGGATTGTCCTAGTGGAGATAGAGTCCAAGGGTCATAGATTAAGATCCAGGAGGAACTTCAGAGGTCATCCAGACCAAACTCCTCATTTTACAAGTGAAGAGCCTGAGGCCTAGAGACACAAGACTTACCCAGGTGTCAGGCAGAGCTAGGCTTTGCACCCATGTCCTCTTAACTTCAAATCCAGTGGTCTTTTCACTATATATAGCACACTCAGTAGACTTGGATACAGCCAGATAGGGGAGCCTGGATAAAGTTGGCCCACACTGGAATGGTTCCACATCTCCAACTTTCAGGAGCTTTGAAAATTGTTTAAATGCGTCACTCTTTGCCCTTAAAATGACCAGTAATGCAGATTGATAATCCTAACCTGGATTTAGAAGTCCCCTGGAATTTAGATAAAATGAGATCCTGGGATCATTATAAATCTTAGGCTGCAAGGCACCTAAGGGGGCCAAATCCTCATTTTGTGGAAAGTGACCTTCCCAAAGTCACACGATACCAATAGTAGAGTCAGATTTGGCCTAGCTTCCTGTACCCTTGTCTATGTAGGGAGATCTGGCCTGATTGGATTTACCTGTGTTCCCTGCTTAGATCCCAAGGCTGTCTCATTCCAGAATCCACAGATCTTAAGGTGTAGCTAAGACTGGCATGGATTCTATTCCCTCAAAGGCCCAGTTCAAAGCAGAAGGATTAGCCCTTCTTGCTACCAGATGTCACTGGTTCCCTGGCTGATGCAGCAAGAATATTGCTCAGCCTCTAGACTGCCCCTCATGTGCCTTTCCTGATGTTCAGAATGCTGCCTCTCCTCTCTTGTGGAGCTAAGGGCTCATTATTACATCTCTTTCCTTCACAGATACAGGAATGGGGCCCTTTTGATTTGGTGATTGGAGGCAGTCCCTGCAATGACCTTTCTATTGTCAACCCTGCTCGGAAAGGTCTCTATGGTAGGTGGTCTTCACTCTGCTCTTTTCCTTTATTGAGATTTTCTGTTAATTTCCCCCCGGAATACTTGCATTCTCTGACCTGGGATTCAGCTGTCTCTCCTCTGTGTTCGTGTGTCCTTTTTGCCCTTTACCCCCAATTCTCATAGCCTCTGGTGCAGGCACTAGCTTTTCTCTCTTCTGCTGCTTGACCCTCTCTTGGGTCCCCACTGATAATCTGGTTTTATGCTCTTCCAGAGGGCACTGGACGGCTCTTCTTTGAGTTCTACCGCCTTCTGCACGAGGCCCGGCCCAAGGAAGGTGATGACCGCCCCTTCTTCTGGCTCTTTGAAAACGTGGTGGCCATGGGGGTCAGTGACAAGCGGGACATCTCACGCTTTCTAGAGGTGAGGCTGGTTATGCTGGTTTGGCCAGCTCTTGGATAGGGTCCTCTCCTGCCTTGGGTTTCATCTCATCCCATCCCTCAGAGCAAAAGCTAGCGGAAGGGAAAAAGACTTTCCCCTTTGCAATGGCAGGTGAGCATCATTGCTAAGGGCTTACAAAGAACTTTTTCCAGAGAATGTACTGAATTTTCTCTTGGGTTGACTTTTGCTCCTTTCTCTGGAAACTGGTCACAAGAATTGCTTGACCCTAAGGGGTAATTTTGTGGATATCGAGGATTATAAATTGAGAGCTAGGCATTAAATTAAACCCCTTATTTTACAGATGAGGAAACTGAGGCCAAGATAGGATAGGACTTGCCCAGGATCACACAGCTATAAAGTGTCTGAGGCAGGATTTGAACCCCACTCTTCCTAACTCCCAAGTCCTATACTCATTTAACTCTGTTCACTACTCTGAAAGAGGTTCTTTTTTTCTTTTTAGGTGAGGCAGTTGGGGTTAAGTGACTTGCCCAGAGTCACACAGCTCTATCCACTGCGCCACCTACCTGCCCCTCTATTCACTACTCTGTTACCTATATCAGGAAGGACCAACCAAACCATTCTTATTGTCAAAAAATTAAGGTGGAGGGCAGCTAGCTGGCACAGTGGATAGAGCACTGGCCCTGAAGTCAGGAGGACCTGAGTTCAAATCTGACCTCAGGCCAAACACTTGACACTAGCTGTGTGACCTTGGGCAAGTCACTTAATCCCAATTGCCAAAAATAAAAAAAAGTAACAAAAAATGAAGGATGGCCCACAGAAATTGGTTTCTTGTCCCTTATTCATGTTCTTAAGGCCAGGGCTTTTCTGCTGCACAGGTGAATTAGAATTGCCAGGGCAGTAGTTGGGGTGCTTTACTCAAAGGGTGGATACTTGTGGGAGGGGAAGCGTGGGTATTGAGAACAGAGTTGCTGATGTAGATGTGACTTCCCCGTTGTGTTATTGTTGACCTCTGTTGTTGTTACATTGGTCATTCTCATCACCATATCCTAAATGTAAGCAGTCTGGGTGATGGCCATCATCTATCATAGCGCTGTAATTGAAAGGGAATCTAAGGTTTTGGTTAGTCCAACCCTCTCTCTCATTTTACAGAGAAGGAAATTCTGAATAGGGGAGGTTATGTGACTTTCCCATGGTCCCGTAGCTATTAAGCTATTAAGATTCAAACCGTTGGCCTGGTAGAAAGAGAATTGCTGCTGGCACCAGGGGACCTAGGTTTAAATCCTGGCTTTGACCCTGATTGACTGCCTATGTGACCTTGGCAAGCAGTTCACTCTCCTGATCCTCAGTTTCCTCATTTGTCAAAATGGACTAGGCAGCTTCTGGGGTTCTCTTCAGTTCCCCATCTATGAGCCCGAGGTCCCGCCTCCCTAAACCAGCTGTCTGATGCCAAACCTAGTTTTTTGGTGGGAGGCATTAGGGTGTGGTGCTCACAGCAGATCCAACATGGCCTTGGGTTTTCCTGCGAAGGTACATTGAGGAAAAGTAGAGTGATATGATTCTGAGATCATGGGATTTTTTTGAGTTAGAAGAAACCTCAAAGGCCATCATTTTTAAGTTGAAGATATGGAGGACCAGAAAGGTGAAGTCACAAAGGTAGTAAACAGATCCCAGTGGGTCTAATTTATTTTTTATCTCAACAGTTTTAAATTTTGATATATCTTATACTCAACAGACATTCATATATTACGTATATGTATAATATATATTCGTATGTTATACTCTTCCAGTCACTAGGATAGATTCTGGTGATAAAAAGATAAAAATGAAACAATCCTCGCCCTCAGGGGATTGCATTCTGTTGTGGGAAACAATCTGTAGATGTAGAAATACAGCTTGTACAATGTACAGTTAAGGCGTGCAGTGGGTTAGAGCACCAGGCCTGGAAGTCAGGAAGACCTTAGCTCAAATCCGGCCTCAGACCCTGGACAAGTCACTCAACCCTGTTTGCCTCAGTTTCCTCATCTGTAAAATGAGCTGGAGAAGGAAGTGGCAAACTACTCCAGTATCTCTACCAAGAGAACCTCAAATGAGTTCACAAAGAGTCAGACACAACTGAATAACAATGACAGCACACAGCATACGCTAGACTAAACAAAAGGCAATTCTCGAGTGGAGAGAAGCACCAGCAAGTAGAAGCAAGCAGACGTTGACTTTGTCACCACATGTAGATTTGGAGCTGGAAAGGTCCTTGGAGGATGTCGAATCCAGTGCACTCAGTTTACAGAAGTTAAGTGACATAGCTGAGGTCAGAGGTTGAAGTCAGGTGATCTCTCTGAGGTCAGAGGTTAAGTGACCTACTCAAGGTCATACAGGAAGCAGATAGCAGGGTTGGGATTCAAACCAATGTCCACTGGCTTCAAATCCAGTTCTCTTCCCCTATACTAGCCTGGTGGACTTGTAGCTTTTGGTCTTCCTATCAGCCCTGGGTTTTCCTACAGGTGTGTGGCTCTGGTTCTATCTGGTGGCTGAGGTAAGAGCTAATGGAAGCTTCAGTCTTGCCAAAGAAGGTCCAGCAGGGGTGGAAGCTGCCCTGCCTTAATGTATGTCTTGGAGGGCTCTTGCCAGTGGTGCTCACGACCCTCTTCATTCTTTTCCCTGTCTTCTGTCTTGTAGTCCAACCCTGTGATGATTGATGCCAAAGAAGTGTCAGCAGCGCACAGGGCTCGCTACTTCTGGGGTAACCTTCCCGGTATGAACAGGTTGGTGAGAGCAGGGTGAGAGCACCGGCACGTTTGGGGTGATTTGCATGGCTTGGAAGCGCTCAGGACCCTTGTAATGAACTTTGCTTCCCTCTCCCCCCACCTCAGTTTCTTCTTCCCTTCTTCCCTAATCAGCTTCTTTCCTTTTTCTGTCTGCAAAGAACAAGGAGGAACAGAGACCCATAAAGGTTACAGCAGTTAAGCCATATTCTCAGCACACGTTTTGATTACGTGGTATAAATAACTGTCTTCTTCCAGGAGCCCATGTGTTTTCTAGTAGTGAGGCTGATTTTGTGCTGATTGAACCATATATATAATCTTGTCAAATGAGATCAGGTATGTAAGGTGCTCTGCAAACTTTAAAGGGATTGGACCTGTGATTTCACTGGTATGAGGGACTCCCAGGTGAGGAAACTCTTTACCAATGCCAAAGCAAGTTGGTACCTTCTCTACAATTTATAGTCTCAGAGTTGCTTAAAGTGCTGAAGTTCAGTGACTTGTCTAAGGTCATTCAGCCAATATGTGTTAGAAGTGGGACTTGAACCCAGGTCTTAATGGTCTTTTATCCACCACACTAGGCAACCTCTGAAAACCTCAAAACACTATGTAAATGTCAGGGTTTTGGGGGGTGGGGTGGGTTAGGGATATGGGGAACAGCAGGGGGAACAGTCCAAACCTATGATTTTATTAGTCTAGGGAAGACATGATGTGGCAGTTCCCCACAGATGTGTAGCTTGTCTACAACATAATAAAGATGGTTAATAGCTCATGTTTATGTAACTAGTTAAGCTTTTACCAATTGCTTTACACACATTATCTCATTTAATCCTCACAACAACTCTGTGAGGTAGATGTTATGCTCTCTATCCCCATTTTACTGAGGAGGAAACTGAGGCCAGGAGGTTAAGTGCCATGCTCAGAATCACACTGGTAGTAAACATCAGTCACAATTTGAACCCAGGCCCTCTGCCTCCAGAGGAGTCATTGTATCATGTTCCCTAATAAGTGCCATAATACTATGATCAGACAAGATCCTGGAATTTTAGAATGACAAGGAACCATTGAAGCTACCTAGTCTTTGCAGCCCCTTCATCTTGCAGATGAGGAAACTGAGGCTCAGAGAGATTAAATGATTTACCAATGTTCACATAGGTAATAAAGAGCAGAACTGAAATTCGATTCCCCAGTCAGTCTTCTAACTCCAAATACAACATATTCTACTACATTAAAAGATTTGCCTGGAACACCAAGAGGTCAAGTGCCTTAACCTTGACTCCTGACTTCAAGGCTGGCCCTCTAGTTACTGCATGGCACTGCCTTTCCTTGGTTCAGAGAATCACAGACCTAGGGCTGACAAAGACCTCAGAGGCATCTAATCCAAGCTCCTCATAGATAAAGAAACTAAGGCCCAACATGTATAGATGTCTTGCCCCAGGTATCACAGATAGTTGTTTTTATTACTATTCATTCTTCTTCTATTACTATTATTTCTACTATTACTATTACTGCTACTACTACTACTACTACTACTCTATTACTGCTGCTGCTGCTGCTGCTACTACTACTACTACTACTACTACTACTACTACTACAACATAGGTGCCTAGCAGGGGTTAGGGCCAGTTGTGAACAATTAGCACCTTGTTACTTGAAAGAATTCTGCTTTAATCCAATAAGGTTTCACCTCCTTGGCAGCCCGAGACCAGTTTTGTGAAGGATTTAAAAAACTTGTGTTTGCACAGATGAAGATAATTTGTGGTCTAGAACGAAAAGCACTTTCAGTTTCATTGCCAAGCAAGTCTTTTTCTTTCTCCTGAGCAAGATGTAAAAAGATATTTTGATGCCTCCCTGGGGGGTGGGGGAAGCCACACCTGCTGGGATTCGCAATTCACAAGAGAAAAAAGGATGGATCTCTTTCTCCAACTTGTCCACCTTCCCTACCTACCTCTCACCACACCTTTTGGGAAATGTTTGTTCTTGCCCTGAATTTTCTCCCAACCAGGAGGGGCCTGTAAGGAAATTGGGTCGATCTCAATCCTGTGCCAAATATTCATATAGGCCTTGATTGGGAGGGGGTCCCCCAAACTAGTGTGCTGTAACTTTTATCTTTTGAAGGCCACACAAGCTCTGTCAACCTTATTGTGAGCTTTTCTCCCTCCTACCTCCTTTCCCAGTCTTCTACAACAGTGACTTGCTAGAGCACATGGCAATGAAGTGACGGGGTTGCTGTGTGTGTGTGTGTGTGTGTGGTGTGTGTGTGTGTGTGTGTGTGTGTGTGTTCCTATACCTACTCAGTTTGTGGAGGGTTTTTGCATGTGTATTTGTGAAGTCTGTATAAACTTACATGTGGTTGGCTTATATGTACGGAACAAATATTTTGCATGTGTGTTCCCTCCCTGCCCCTGTCACTTCACTGTAGTAGGTGAAATCACGGGTCTAGTTTAAAAAAAAAAATAGAGAGCCAGGGTATAAGGCTGCCCCTTCTCTACCTCCACCCACGAACCTACCTACCCTATCACCCCCAAACCCCCATCATACTCTCCCATGTATGTGACCAAAAAAGCCAGAGCCCAAGTTGGGCAGTGACTATGTTTGCCCCCACCAAAAAAAGAGGCGTCATCTATTCTCTCTGGACAAAGACTGGTAGTTACAATGCTTCAAGGATTTTCTTTGGATGCGTTCTTTTCATTTCCATTATCTTTGGCATTGTATCATGGCTTCTTAGGTGTCTGGACTAGATGTTTGATCCTGCAACATCAGCTAGATGGGACCTGAAGGACTTATCTAACTTGCTATGTTTTATAGATAAGGAAACTGAGGCACAGAGAAGCAAGCCAAAAGACTTGCCTGAGACCAAAAGCAAGTCAAGGATTAGAACCTACAGTTCAGGGATCTTTCTACCACACTACCCAGAATCGTATTATTGAAGTCCAAGTTTTCAGGACTGTTTTCTTTACCCAGAGATCTTAGAAGAATGTGGCCTACTCCAGCTCTTCAGCGCACAAGGGAATAAGCCAGCCTAGGGTGTCTGTTCCACTCTCTGTGGGGCCCTAACCTAAGGCCTGGAATCAGTTAGTATGATTTATTAAGCACCTATTACTTACTAGAAAAAGAACTCTGTAGACAATCTGGAATAATGAGGACCAGGTGGATCCATTCTGTCTTAGTCCTTGTATGCCAGTGCAAAAACTGAGCAAATACACACAAAAGAGAGTAAGAATGTGGGTGTTGGACATATATTTGGTGTATGGATTCACAGGATTGTGAATGCATGTGTAAAGATCTACTTTGAAACAATCTTATTTAAATTTTCAACTCATTTCATTAACTTAAAACAGGCACCCTAAAGTCAGTATTTTTTTTTAACTTGGGGAAGTACATTTTTAAATCCCTGTATTTAGCTTTCACAGGGCCCCATCTGCCAGCATGCAGATGGGGGAGTGTGAGTTTCTCTACATAAGTCTTAGCACAAACCTTCAGTGGATTTGTGCAACTGTGTGACTGTTTAGTGTGTATTGTCAGTGTCGTGAGTCAGGGGGCTGGCTGACGGAGTCTGTGCGTCAAGTGGCTGTGTCCAAGGCTTCCTCCCTGTTGACTTGCTTTTCTGTCTCCCAGGCCATTGGCATCTACCGTGAATGATAAGCTGGAGCTTCAGGAGTGTTTGGAGCATGGCAGGATAGCAAAGGTGAGGGACCAAGCCTCCGTTTTCCCTCCTGGCAAGCCTGGACTGAGCAGGGAGGTAGAATGGTGTTTTAGAAAACCACCAGCTTTGGGGAAGAAGGAAAGGTGTCCTGGAGCAGGAAGGTAGAAGGGCCATAGCACATCTGCTCTGTAAGTGTTCCCACCAGCCTGGAAAATGGAATGATGGGTGAGGTGCCTGGGACCAGCCAAGGTCCAGCCACATGCTCTGCTCTCCCTGTCTCTACATTTATGGCCAGGAATAGCCTGTTTCATTGTTATTCTTTCCCTCTGCCTCCAGAGAGGGCATCTAGTACTTGTCAAGGCTTCCTGGCCAGAGCTTCATCTGCTCTCTGTGCAAGGCCAGCCTCCCAGGTGATGCTCAGGTTCCAAGGTCACCAGAAGCTGCATGAAGCACTTTTGCTGAGAATTTGTTATTGGAGTCAGCATTTCCAAACATTTAAAGAACTTTTGGTTTGAGATACTTTGAGCATCTTTGTGCCTGGGGCAGAAAGCAGTGCCCTTCTTTGTCCTTCGAGTTAACACATTGGAGACCAGACCTATTTGTCTGGAAGGGGAACAAGAGAAACTAAAACTAGGAGCTAACTGAGCTAGACTAAGAGATCAAGGCCAGCACAGAAGGGTGGGAAAGGCAGGGAGAGGGGTATCTAGGCACAGGTCCAGTCAAGGTCTCTGCTCAGTCCTGCAGTTGGGGCCTCATCATTGGAATCAGCCTGACTAAGTGAACCTGTTTTCCTGCCCAGAGGACACCAGGCCAGACCTCAGTAGGCCCAGAGCATGGCAGTCAGGCCATGATACTCACACCTCTTCTCTTCTTGATTTTTTCTAGTTCAGCAAAGTGAGGACCATTACAACTAGGTCAAATTCCATCAAGCAGGGCAAAGACCAGCATTTTCCAGTCTTCATGAATGAGAAAGAGGACATCTTGTGGTGCACTGAAATGGAGAGGTACCGTCCCTCTTCGCCTCCCCCTTTAGTCAGATTTCCTTTGGAGGGGGGTGGTATGTGAGCTGCGTCGGGGTATCAGAATTCAGAAAATGTTCTGGCTCTTGTGAGCCAACAGGACTGGCCTAGGCACTGGCAAAGCTGAGATTTCCAAGAAACATGTAGGGAGGTAATTAGGGTTCATGCTGTCACACTCTTTTCTAAGTATGGACTTAGCTATCGGAACATAAATATGGACCCTCAGGAGCAAAGTGAGCTTTATTGGGAAATCTGAGAACAGGAGTGGGGAGCCTGTGGCCTCAAGGCCACATGCGGCCCTCTAGGTCCTCATGTGCTGCCCTTTAACCGAATCCAAACTTTACTGAACAAATCCCCTTAATAAAAAGATTTGTTCTGTAAAACTTGGACTCAGTCGAGAGGCTGCACCCAAGGACCTAGAAGGCCACGTGTGTCCTTGAGGCCAAAGGTTCCCCACTCCTGTCCTAGAGCAAGGTAAGATTTCAGAATCTTAGATTTCTTTAAGGGAGGGAAAAGTACAGGGGGAAATATCCCAATATGCATTACTATGAAAATAATGCTATTACTAATCCAAATCCCATAAATCTGTCACCTAAGAGAGACAGTGATATAGCAGAAAGGGCTTTGGAGCCAAGTGGATCTGGGTTCAAATCCTGCCTTGACTACTGTCTGTGTGACTTTGGGCAAGTCTCTAGCGCTTAGCACAGTGCCTGGAATACAGAATGTATTTAACATGTTTATTGACTGGCTAACTGACACTGTGGGCCTTGAATTTCCTCCTCTTAACCACGAGGGATTTGGACTATGACCTCTAAAGTCACTCCCAGTTTTAGGTTTGTGATCTTATTCTTCCTTTTTTGTGGGGGGGTTGAGGGCAATTGGGGTTAAGTGACTTGCCCAAGGTCACACAGCTAGTGAGTATCATGTGTCTGAGACCAGATCTGAACTCAGGTCCTCCTGACTCAAGGGCCGGTGCTCTATCCACTGCACCACCTAGCTGCCTCAGTTTGTGATCTTATTATCAGAGCCACCCAGTAATTTGTTTTGGTTTAATCAAGTTCATTTGATCACAGGATTTGTAAGATCTTTCAGAGTCAAAATTATTTCATTCTTTTATTTGCATCCCCAGCTGCCTAGCCTAGCAGGTGCTTAATTGATCAATCATAGACTTGTAAGTTATTAGATGTATAAGATATATTTATAAGGGACCTTAGAAATCACCTTGTTCAACCTCTTCATTTTACAAATGAGGAAACTGAGCAACTCTGATAGGCAAGGGTCCCTTGAGCAAGTAGAAAGGGACAGAGACTGGCTTCAAATGCAGGTGCCCTGGCCTCAAAGCCAGTGTTCCTTCTCTTCCACCACACTGCCTCCCTTAGGGGTCAAATCCACAAGATTTGTCATGAGTAATGGTGTCATTTTTATGATTTTTCACAGATGGTGATGGTAATGAAAAACTCACCAGTATAATTTAAAAAGTTAACTTTGGGAACTTGAGAAACAATAGCTTTGGTCAGCCCAGACCAACATTTTCAGAAATTAAATTAAAACTGCAGGCTGGCTGACTGGCTCCTGCTTAACAGAGATGGATGTGTGTGTGTGTGTGTGTGTGTGTGTGTGTGTGTGTGTGTGTGTGTGTGTGTGTGTTAAGTAGTGTTTCCCAAAGTGTTTCATATACCTTCTGTTCACACAGTCCTCAAAAACTGTGGCATGTATTCCAATTACAGATTTGCTGAGCTGTGTAGGATTGAAAGAAGGGACATCCAGGTTCACCCCTTCCTACCCTTTTTGCCAATATCTTCCTCTAGGGTCTTTGGCTTCCCAGTCCATTACACGGATGTCTCCAACATGAGCCGTTTGGCAAGGCAAAGACTGCTAGGCCGGTCATGGAGCGTTCCTGTGATCCGCCACCTCTTCGCCCCCTTGAAGGAATATTTTGCCTGTGTGTAAGGGACATGGAAGTGAACTGGGATAGTGACATCTAATCAAAGCAAAACCACCAAGAATGAGAGGATGGAGAGAAGTATCAGCACCCGGAAGTGAAAAAAAGGAATTTCAAACAAACAAACAAAACACAAAAACCATCACAGATGCGAAAACATCCACAAGGCATCGCCGAGCAAAAGGGTTGGACGTCATCTCCTGATTTTTCAATGTTAAACTTTGATCCTATTTAAAAAACAAAACCAAGCTTCCCCTCCCCTCTTTATTATTATTATTATTAATATTATTATTATTATTTGGGTCAAACATTTAGTTTTCCACTCTTTCCAGAGGGGTTTTCTGTTTGTCTCGGTTTTGGCTTCTCGCTGTGACTGAAATAAGAGGGTTTATAATTTTTTTTTAATGCTGTAAGAGGAGGAGTAGGAAAACAGGGAACTACAGCAAAAAAAAAAAAAGATATTCAACAAAATAAAAACAGCAACTCTACCATGCAGAGGAGAGATAAGAAGGGGGAGGGGGGGAAAGAAATATGCTATAGAAATCTATCATATATATATATATAATGTGTATATATATATATTTTGGGGGGTTTTGTTTTGTTTTGAGTTTTTTTTTGTTTTTGGGTTTGGGGTTTTTTGTTTGTTTTTTGTTTTTGTTTTTTTTTTTTTTTTTTTGGCTTGGGTCTGATTAGATTAGGAGCACAAGCAGGAACAGAAAACTAGGGAGACACTCGGGCGGTCGGCGGCAGCCAAGGTCACCTCCAGCCACTGAGTGGGATTTTACCAGCACCATTCCTGGTGACGCAAAGTGAAACCCAACTAGCAACAGGGAAGATGAAAACACCCACACAATACACTTTTATACAGTATTTCAGGTGCCTACCACACAGGAAACCTTGAAGAAAATCAGTTTGTAGAAGCCGCTGTTACCTCTTGTTTACAGTTTATATATATATATATGATAGATACAAGATATATATCTATATATAAAAAGGTACTGTTACTACTGTACAACCCAACTTCATAATGGTGCTTTTCAACAGCGAGATGAGTAAAAACATCACCTTCCATGTTGCCTTATGTGCAAAGGGTTTTAACCAAGGATGGAGAAAAGGGAGAGATGGTTTTTTTCTTTTTAAAAAATTACTTTATGTTCTTTTAATTTTTTAAATGGTAAAGAAAGGGGGTTAGGACATAATCCCCCATGTCCCATTTCTCCCTGCCGAAAGGGGTAGGGAAGAGATTAAGTTTGAGGGTGTTAAGGACAGTGAGACACCCTAACAGGAGACAACCTTTCCTGAGTCATGCAATAATTTTTTTTTTTAATTTCCCAAAAGGAAAACTCCCTGGGCTGGATGGCAGGGGCAAAGGAGGGCTAGGTTCCCAGTTCCCCTACTTGAGTCATTCCACTGATTCCAGAGGATATCTCATGGAGGGGTACAGAAACCATCCAGAGTTTGGGGATATGTACAGCTAAAACCCCATCCTGGAGGAAATAAAAAAACATACAAAAAGTACTGGTGCTTTTCTGTCTAAGTCGCCTTTTGTGTGTTCTTTTATGAGAAACCACCTCCTCCCTGTCCTGCTACCATCTGCCCCTTCCCTGCACAAGGCAGCCCCTGACCCCAGGGGGAGTGATGTTTTTGGTCATCTCCAATCATAGGCTACAGTTTTATACTGGGAGGCTGATGATTTGGTTTATTATAATTGTTGTTATGCTTCTGATTCTGTTTGTTTAAATTTTTTTTTCCTTTGGGAAAAAATAAGCCCAATACTACCCTCCCTCCTCCCTTTAGGTTAAACACCAAGGTGCAGGGAGCAGGGTGGGGAAAACAGGGTGCTTTTTTTTCTTTTTTCAGTGGCTTCAGTGCCCAGGTTCCTAGGAATCCTGGCTCCCCCACCCCTCCTCTCAGGCCAGGCCTATACTCTCCTTTGTACAGCGCTAATTTGGCAGCTCAACAGTCCCTGAAAGTCTGCCTTCTGGAGTTCCGTCGCTCCTCTCCTCCTTCAGCTTCCCCTTTGTTCTTCTCAAGTCTAAGGAATATCTAGAGTTGGAGGGAGGAAGGACAGGGGCAGTCTCTTTCCTTTTAAATGTGATGTGAATTGTATGTGTGGTTCCTCCTCTACCCCTCCTAGTACTTGGTCTGATGATGGCTGTGCTCTTTTGTCATCTTTTTGGGGTTTGTTTTTTTGTTTTGCTTTGTTTTGTTTTTACCTCGAGTCAGCCACACTTCAAGTCCTGGTTCCAGAGACTTGACCCACTTCCTACTTTTGCAGACAGGGTGCCGGTGGCCCAGCCTGGGCAGTAGGAAGAGGAAACAAACACTCAGTGGCTCCAGGGTATGAGCCAATGGGCAGATGCCTGCCTCCATAGATGGGGTGTAGATATGTGGCATATAGAGATATATATTTTATAATGGGAGGGGGGATGGAGCCTCCTGGGACCTGCAGAGATAGGAGGCGCTCTCTAAAGTTCAAGGTCCCATATTACCATCCCCAGAAGGATAGGACCTCTGGTGATAGGCACTATATAAATACATAGATAGGGACATATATATGAAATATAATGCAGTGGGGGAGAGGGGGCAGATGACTTACTCTTGCTAAGCCTCTCTACCCTTCTCTTTCCTTGCCACAGGCATAGATAGCCCCATACAAATCAATCTATCTCTTACATACAAACATACTTCTACACAGTTACAGCTGCACTGTTATATACACACAGACATAACCTTTCCCCAAGATCCAATATTTCATGGAGTAGAGTCCCATACAACCACTTACCTCGACCCTGCTATCCCCTTGAATGCAGTTAACCTTTTTTGTGAGGGGGGGCTCTCCATGCCATCCAGGAGCTGTTGAGTTCCCAAGGTGCTACAGGTGGTAGGGGAGAGATTGGATCAGCTGACATTTTAGCTAAGAGACACCCCCATCCAAATGATAGCCTGCGCTTGTCTTTAATACCTCCCATGAAGTATGGGAAGGTCCTGAGCTAGCAAACCCTGGATGCCAACATCTGATTCCAAGGTGCAACCCAAGTCAACCTCCTTATCCATCTTTCTTGGCTTTCTACCTTAGCCTAAGGAACTTCTCGGAGGAATTAGAAATAGGAAAGTGAGCCTTGGGCCAATACAGGAAGAGCAACTGGGTGGTGGGGAAGATAGATGCCTGAGGCAGGCCTTGAACCACCAGAGCCGGTGTCCATCCAGGCCAATGTCCCAAGACTCCTGCTGTTATTTGGGCTGTCTAGGACTTGGTTCCCCAATAGTCTAAAGCCAACTTCTGTTTAAATTGGCATCTAAGCTTCCCATTCCTCTAAGTCTAGGGATAGCATTGTGATTGGATGTTTTCTCCTTTTGGATCATGACTGGTTTTCCACTGGAGATGAGTTTGGCGTTGGGTTTCCTGTTCTCTGTGGTGCTCCCCTTTACTTCCCTTCTTTATCCAGCTGGGCTTCACTTCCCTACCCCATCCCACCCTGGTTTGGGAGGCCACCAGCACCACTCTAAGAGTGGCTAGTGGAGGAGGTGGGCTGCTCTTGAGTAGTCCAAGGTGCTCCCTCCCCTCATAGCCGACACTTGTTTCCAAGGTCTTCCCAGTCCCCAGTGTCTTTTCACCGTTTCCCTTCATGCTGTGCCCAGCTTTATGCCAGCAGGGCCCTCCCAACTCCTGCTCACTAATCCTCTGCTCCTCAGCACCAAAGCCTCTTCCTTGCTCTTCATACAATACAGTCTAGTCCGTTTCCCAGACTTGTGCTTACAAATGTTGAATTTTTAAAAAATGATCTGGGTGGACTTGGGCTAAGCTCATATTAGCCAAGCCTTATGCCCTTCCCAGTGATATTGGTATTAAAAACCTTGGTAGCCCTCCAACCAAGCATGCTATCCCATCATCCTATGGGCTAGGCTTTTAGGTTTGGGGACAGTCTTGGCCCCATATCCCAGCCTGGAGATTCTTCTATGAGGATGTGGTCCTAGAATGCATTCTGCTCTAGAGAGGGTTGATTTTGGATTCCCTAGCCCCTCCAGGGGAGAGGACCTCACCCTACCTTTTGGTCTATTCTTGTGACGAGGCCAGCGCTTTCTAGATGATGGCCGTTTATAAGAGAAGTCTTGGAGGGAGGGGTTGTGACTGTGACTGTCTTGGGGGGTTGGTTTTGAGTGGCTAACCTTCCTATGCCATGAGAACCTAGAGAGCAGAATGTTCTAATGGGAAACATCCCCCTGCCTGGCAGGATAAAAGCATGAACTCTGGATGCATTTGGGCCAGTCCTGGATCTGGCTGGGTAGAGTACTGGGCCAAGTGACTTTGGGAGCTTTTTGCACAAACCTGCTGCTTCCAGTCAGATCAGAGCAGAGGCAGGCCCAAATGGCTCATGGGTCCATAATTGACCTGAAGCATCAGGATAGAGGGACTTGTGACCAAATAGGTTGAACGTGCTAAGCCTTGACATTGTCTGTCAAGGTGCCTGTCTGGGAGCCTTCTGTAAGAAGTCACTTCCTTGAGGCATTTGGAGACTCCTTTGGGTTGCTGTGTTTCATGGTTGCAGGTGGTAGGTAACTTAAGTACCTTCCAGAGGAGAGGGTGAGTGCCTTGAAGTAGGGGGATGAAGCTCCATAAGTTCATAGGGGGCTCTATAAGTTCAGCAGAGGGTAGGGATCACTCCCAGCTGCCTTATTTATGGGGGAAGCTGGGTTGTAAGGGTAACAGTGGTTTGTAGGAACCACAGAAAGGGAGGGGACAGGATTCAACTCAGAAGTTGTTCCTACCATTTCTGTCACTTCCATGATGCCACATCTGTCAATGTTGTAGAAATGAGGACTTCAGGGGACAGACCAGCCACCCTGCCAGTGCTTGGTAGGGCACAGTGCCAAAGAATGCAGCTGTTGACTGAGGTAAAGAGCAAATGAGGAAGTTAGTCTTTATTGGACTGCTGCTGAGAATCCATGGGGCTTTACGTTAGCTGGTATTAAACCCTCGGGTAGGGTCAGGGTGAGCGAGGGAAATAGATGACCTATGTGTGGTAGTGGGGGTAAACCAATAGGCAGATCCAAGTTTCTGGATCCAGCCCCTCTAAAAAAAAAAACGAAATGGAATAGGGGTGCCGAGTTGCCACTTCTGATCTCCTTATACCTGAAAGCAAATGCCTTTTTCTTTTTTCTTTTTCTTTTTCTTTCTTTTCTTTTTTTCTTTTTTCTTTCTTTCTTTTTTTTTTTTTTTTGCAGCTGAACATCCCATTGGAAAGCAAAGTTGCTCATGAGGTGGGCTCCCAAGCATAGTTTCTGGCACCAAAAGAGCAGGTGTTCATTTGTGACTTGGCAGAGTCTTGAGACTTTGGGGGGCACATTAAATTGGCCTGGGTTATGTGCTTGGGCCTAGGTAGATCCCATTGGGAAGGTACTGCTTCTTCCCCTCAAGCCTTCAAAGGCACCTCCCATATGGAGCAGCCAGCTCTC